TTTACCTCAAAAAATTTAAGTTAGATTTCCATCACATAAAATTGAGGAAGTCCTGATTAACACAAGTGGTTTGAAAACTTATTTCTTTTTATTCCCTTGAATCCTCCTCCATTTCTATTGGTTCTATAGAAACCAGTAGATTTTTTTCATTTTCATTTATATGTCCAAATGAGAATATTTAGTACAAGATACTGACTCACATCATAACGGAAGCTGAGAAGTTTTGAAATCTGCTGTCTGTAAGCTGGAAACACCACCAGTGGGTGGTGTAGTTAAATAACCTGAGAGACATAGAGCTGATGGTATAGATTCCAGTCTGGGATCTTGAGAACCAGGAGCACTGAGGGTGGAATATAGGTGTCCCAGCTTAGTCAGGCTGAGTTAAGTCAACCTTGCTCTGCTTTTGCATTTTTCTTAGGCCCTCAACCACTTGGATAAGCCCATCCACATTGGAGAGGGCCATCTGTTTTCTCAGTTTACCAAATGCTAACCTCTTCTGGAAACATCCTCATGTAGACCCCAAAATCATGTTTAACTATCTATCTGGGCATCCTGTGACACAGTGAAGTTGATAAATAAAATTAACCATTACAGCCAAATATAGGCAAACTTTGGAAATGGTACAGATTCAGTTCCAGCAGTACAATAAAGTACATATTGCAGTGAAGTAAGTCATACAATTGTTTTAGTTTCTCTGTGCATGTAGAAGTTATTAAGTGAGCAAAGCATTATGTTAAAAAAACAATTTACATGCTCTAATTAGAAAATACTTTAATGCTAAAGAGTGCTAACCATTCTGAGCCAGTTAGAAAAATGGTGCTGATATACTTGCTTGAGGCAGGTTGCCACAAATCTTCAATTTGTAAAAAAATGCAGTGTCTGTGAAGTGTAATAAAGTAAAGTGCAATAAAATTAGGGTATGCTTGTATCTATAGCAACACCTCACCTCTGCCATTGTAGCATAAAAACAGCTATAAACACTCATAAACAAGTGAATAAACATGTTGTGTTTTAATACAACTTTATGTACACCAAATTTGAATTTGACGTAATGTTCACATGACACAAAACATTCTTCTGCTGACTACTTTCGTCAATTAAAAATCTAAAACATTTTTTAGCTTCTGGGCTGTACAAAAACAGGTGGTGAGCCAGGTTTGGCCTGTTGGCTGTTGCTTGTTGACCTCTGTCCTAGGATGTTCAAGAGAGCTCTTTGTCCTACAGTAATTTATTTATTCACTATTCAAATATTTGATTAGCACTTGCTCTTTTGAAAGGGATGATGCTAGATTGAAAGAAACTAAAATGAACAAGGCAGACATAATCTCCATGTCCAGGATCTTGAGGACCTTTGTATTATTAGTTAGCTTAGGCTGCCATAACAAAACCTCATAGACTGGGTGTCTTAAACAACGGGGATTTATTTTCTCACAGTTCTGTAGACTGAGAGGTTTAAGATCAAGGTTGACAGAGTTCAGTTTTGGGTGAGAAGTCTCTTGCTGTTGTGCTGAAGTCCACCTTCTTACTGTAGGCTCACAAGGGCTTTTCTCTATGTTCAAACATGGAGAGATTAAAAACAAAGGAAAACAAAAGATAAAAAGCTCTTGTGTGTTTTTTGTGACAAGTGAAAAGGGCACTAATCCCATTATGAGGGCCCCACCCTCATCTAATTCTGATTATGTCTCAAAGGCTCAATCACAAATACCATCACATTGGGGTTAGTGCTTCAAAATGAATCTTTCTGGGGGTGTGGGGGTGGGGAATACATGAACATTCAGTCCACAATAGTATGTAAGGTGGGAAACTAGGGGACCTGGAAGATACAGTAGAGTAGATACTGTGGGGACAGGGTATAAAGTGGACATAGCCATGGCTGGGAAGGCAGGTGGGAGGGAGCTCTAGGGTTAGCTGTTGGAAGCATTCCTAGATGATTATGATTTAGGAGGCAGATCTCAGCATTTACCCTTTTGCTTTCTTTTAAAATCTGCTAAATCTACTTTATTTATAATGGGAATAACAGCATTAATTTTCTCATGAATGTTCTGGGAGAAAATAATGATTAAGTTCTAGCGTGAATCACAAAGACAAACTAGAGCTAACTAGGGAAAGTACGCTTGGGGGTCTCCCAGCTCATTGCTTTAGAACTAAGTCACTGAGTCAGAAACAGCAAGGAGAAACAGCTCTGAAATGGGGTTCCACTTCTCACACTGTGGTCCCAGCACAACTCCACTCCCATCAAAGGGAGCGGGGAGGGGCTAAGACACAAGGGTGGAGAGGCCTGTTCCTCCAGCTGCACTTGGAGGGTCTGTTGTAATAGCTCGCATGGCACAGAGTGCCCTCTTTCTGGATCTGATGGTCACTGTCTGGATGAGGAAACAGGAGCTCATTCAGGATTGAGCCCCCCGGTGGAGAACACAGGATCTGGGCACCTGCAGCGCCTAACAAAAAACCGAAAGTCAGGAGACCACAGCGCACAGTACCAAAACCTTAAGTTTAAAGGCCAGGGGCCACAAAACTACTGACAGCGGAACGTGCAGACTTGGAGTTTTCCCGGGGGTGACTTTGATATGTAGAAGTTGGATCTGGGTCCTAGTGACCTGAGTACTGGCATGAGTCTGGGTTATGGAAGTTCCTCGGGGTTAGAGGGGCAGCCTCAGCGGTAAAACGGCGGGGGGCACCCTGGAGAAGGAGGCATGGATAGAGTGAATGGAGGGACCCGTAGGGGTGGCTGGGAACCGAGCTGGGCCAAGTCAGCCTTGCCCTGGGGCATTCTGGGGTGGGAATTTGAAAGGCTGATAGAACAAGACAGGGGTTTGGGAAGAACTGCCTGGAAAATTTTGCGAATGAAGATGGGAAAATTGGGAAGATGGTGAGAGGACCTGATGGGAATTGACTTGTATTGGAGGAGACTTGTGCAGAGAAAAAGGTACATCTAGGAATTTATGAGGAATTTATTAATAAATAACTAATTAATAGTAATTAATTAATATGTGTTTATTTACTTTCCTGTTACCTTTTATTTACAATTTCCAAGTTAAGATGAATTTGGACCAATACAGTAAACACACATATGCTGTTCATCTAGAGTCAACAATTGCAACAATTTAGAGTCACACTGAAGTTCTTTCTTAACGCATATGCACATGTATACACGTTCTTGCTGGCAGATATAATGACACTTTATTTTAAAATATTTATTTATCAAATATTGAAGAATTTAAATAATATTCTCACATAACTATGATACTATTATTACACCAAAGGAAATGATCAATTTTAATAACTTTTTGATAATTCATTTTAAATTATAGTCAACATACAATAGTAGTACCAAGTATACAACATAGTAATTAGATACTTGTTAATAATAATTATAATATCTGATACATATAGATGATTTCCCAATTGTCTCCAAAATATTTTTATGGTTGTGTTTCTAAATCGGAATCCCAATATAATTGACATTAAATTTGATTGTTATATTGCTTTTGTCCGTTTTCTAGAATAGCCTATAATTACTTTTTCAAGTGATAGTAACTATTTTTTTTAAATGATACTGACTTTAGAAGTGTCCAGATCACCTGGCTTGTTTAATGCTCTATATTCTTGAATTTTCTGATTGCTTCCTCATGATGTCAGTTAACTTCTTATTCTGTTCCCTATATTCCATGTATACTGATACTTAGGTCTGAAAGAACAGATCTCAGCAAGCTTTTTCTATAATAGACTAGTTAGTATTTTTCTGGTTTTGTGGCCTTGCAGTGTTACAACTATTCAGGTCTGACATTGTAGTATGAAAAAAGCCATAGACAACCCAGCAGTGAATTATTTTGATGTGTTCTAATAAAACTTTATTTACAAAAGCAGGCAGAGGCCCAGATTTAGCCTGCGTGTTAGTTTTCCAACCCTCGGTCTAAAAGCTGGGTTAGATTTAGGGTAGAGTGACTTGCACATAATTCATCATTTACTGCACATGGGATGTCGTAACTTCATGTCTTATCAGGAGACATATAAAGTCAGGTTTCCCATTATTGACAATGTGAAGCTGATCATTAAGTTCAGATCTCCCTATTGTCAATGTGCACTTTATCCCTTGTAATTAATCAGTAATCTGTGAGTTGTTTTGGGGGGCACTGTAGGACTAGCCTGTTCTCCAATAGCTTTTCACATTGTGTTTAGTGCCACTTACTCAGTATTGAAAAATCATAACTTTCTACTTTTATCTTGTCTTTTACGATCATTGGCTGATATTTTTAGGTATCACTATGGACTCATGAATGTTTTTAATGTTCTAACCATTTACAGTCATTTTCTGTGGTGTTCAGATTATACAAATGTGGTCTGTGGAAACCCACAGGAAATTTCTTTCAGGTGTAATTGCTTTGGAATTAGATCTTGCCTAGATCACATGCTTTGGATGAAATAATACATATAAATACATCTTACATGATGTGCTGTAGGAATATACGCCTTTTCCAAGCTCCATTAGTAAAATGTAAGGATGTAGAGACTGCATTGATTTTCCTCTAACTTTTTTTTTTTTACATATAAGCTCAGTGAAATCAGGACCTGGGATCTCTGTGAAACAGATTGTAAGAAAACTATTTTTTGAGTGAAAAATCAGTAAGTCTCTAGACATGAAGAGTAAAGAAGTCAAGGCATGCAGGTAGGGAGACCAAATACAGGTATTTGACTGGACATTACTTTCCTTTTTTATGATCTCATAAGAAAGATGTTTGGGGATGGTTTTCCTTGTTATGCTTGAGGGACATTTTTGTAGAGAAACAGGTTGAAGTTCAGGGCTTTAACCCAGGACAACCGAGGAACCGGATCATAGCTCCCTGACTATTCTGGGAGTGAGCTGAAGCATGCTGTGTGGACCAGAAAATCCCAGTTCCCTAGCAGTTGAGTGTCAAATGTTTTGTGCATGCTCTCTCCCACAATGGTGCCAGGATCAGTTACTGGTAACAGACAGAAAAGTATTTTCTGTACTCTTTGCCCAAAGGATGACAGGTCAGTGTTTTCCTTATTTTCCAGGAGACAGGATCATCTGGTTTAGTTGTTAATTTTATTCTCCTGAGAAGGAAGAGGTAAAAATGATACCGTGCTAAAAAGTGTAGGACCTGTACTATGACAACTAGAAAACATTGTCAAAAGACATCAAAGAAACTGAAAAAATGGAAAAAATATTGCATGTTCAGGGATCAGAGGATTTAATATAGTTACACTGGCAGTATCTCCACAGTGATCTACTGAGTCAACACACTCCTTATCAATATCTCAGTTAAATTTTCCTCAGAGATTGACAAACACATTTTAAAATTTATATGGGACTTCAAAGGGTATAGAATAGCAGAAACAATCTTGCAAAAGAAAAACAAATTTGTAGAGTTGATGCCCCAGTTTCAAACTTGGTACAAACTATAGTAATCAAGATATGATGGAAGATTAAATGTCCAAAAATGAAACCTTGTATTTATGATGAATTAGTTTTCATAAATATGCCAGTACAATTCATTGATGGTAAGAACAATTTTTCAATAAATGATGATGGGACACCTGGATATCCAAATGTGAAAGAAGGAGAAGAGGAAGGACCATTAAGGAACAAGTATAAAGGACCCATGGAGAAAGCCAAAGGTGGGTAGGATTGAGGGTGAGAGAAAGGGATGGGAGGGGAAGGGGAGGTTGATGGGGCAGGGGAAATGGAGATTGAACAACAATAAAAATTCAAGCACAACAATAATTGTGCTTGAACAACAATAAAAATAGATAAGCTCTGGCTGGCACAGCTCAGTGGATTGAACCAAAGGGGTTGCCAGTTCAATTCCCAGTCTAGGGCACATGCCACGGTCGCAGGCCAGGTCCCCAATAGGGAGTATGTGAGAGGTGACCACACAATTATGTTTCTCTCCCTCTCTTCCCCTCTCTCTAAAAATAAATAAACAAAATCTAAAAAAAAAAAAAGGATGCACCTCACACCATATTAAAACCTCAAACAATTTTAAAAAATTAATTCCAAATAAATTATATACCTAAATATAATAACTAAATCTGTAAGTGTTTAGAAAGAAAACATGTATTAATTTTATAGGTATTAAGCAGTTGTTTAAGTATAATACTGACAGTGCAAATAAACAAAACAAGATAAATTGGACTTTACTGATTTGAAAAACTTTTGTGTATCAATGGTCACTATCAATGGTATAAAAAATCAATTAACAGAATGAAAGAAAAATTAAAAATCATATGTCTGACAAGGGACTTGTGTCTACAATATATGTAGAATGTTTACAACTTATCAATAAAAATAAATGACTCGAATGAAAATAGCAAAAGACTTTAAATAGATATTTCCCCAAAGAAGGTATGCAAAAGTCTAATAACCATGTGAAATGATACTCAACATTATTAGACATTAGGGAAACACAGATCAAAAGCCTAATGAAAAAGCACTTTACATGCACTAAGTTATGAAAATCTAAATGAGCTCTGGCTGGTGTGGCTCAGTTGATTGAAGTGTCATCCTGTAAGCCAAAAAGTTGTGGGTTTGACCTCTGGTGGGGACATATGAGAAAGGCAATTGATCCATGTTTCTTTCTCACAATGATATTTCTCTCCCTCTCTTTCTCCCTCCTTTCCTCTCTCTGTAGAATCAATAAGCATGTCCTCAGGTTATGGTTAAAAAAAAACCAACTAACTACAACAAGTTTTGATGAGGATGTGGAGGAAATTGGAACACTTACATATTTCATCTTCTCGTAGAACTGGGGAACCATTTTAGGGACTTTTATGCTACACGGTAGTCTATAAAATATTTCTTTTGTGAAGATAACTGAGTTTTATGTGACTAACTACTGGAGGAAGGATAAGAGTAGATGGGGGAGACCAGCCAAGCAAGGATGACAGCTGAGTTTAGGGAGGTGTGGGAGGAGGTGTTGGGGTCAGTGTCAACAAGGCAGATCTGTGACTGCTGAGAAGAAAATACTAGCATGGTTTAGCAATGAACTGATCTGGTGCAGAACAGGGTAGGGGAGAGGATAATGGTAAGGATTTTTCAGGTCTTGACTGGTACAATGAGATGAATGGAGATGCCACTCAAAGAGATGAGAAACCCTGAAGAGGAGTAAGTTGGTAAAAAAAAAAAAAGATAAATTCTTTTATTGCCACATTGGGCTCTTCTGAGATATCTAAGTAGAGACGTCAAGCAGGCAATTGGGAAGAGTTTATCTGGGGATCATAGGTAGTTCAGAGCTACAGAAATATATTTGGCCATCATTTCCTTCTGCGTGGCTCACTGAGTGCCTTGCCTTGTAGACAAGATTGTCTATAAGGAGGCTATAAGGTGGTAATGGAAGTGCTGCTAAAACAAAGTTAGGTAGAATAAATGGAATCTAAAGAAGATGAAGAAAGCTCATCCAGAAAGGGAGAATGCCAGGGATATTGTAATTAATATAGGAGCTAGGGTCAAAAGAGAAGTTTCATAGTAAAGGCAGTAACCACAACATCCAAAAGTAATGACTGCTACAGTGAAATGAGTGGCCAGAGGGGAAATAAAGCCAGGGCCCTCACTACTGCAATCTAACAAAGAACTTAACACAGGTGGCTAAAAGCAAAGGAAGGTGTGTCTCACCCATTAACCCAGTAATTACTGAGCCTGGTCCAATAAGGTTGCCAGGCATTCCGAACAACACAAGTAAACTATGATAATGCAGGGGGGAGCCCTTGAAAGTCTATCTATAATCTCCACTAACTGGCAAAAGGAAAACCTTGAGACTGTGTATGCATCCCAAGTCTTAGAAGGGGTAAGAGGAGGGGAACTACAGTGCCCTCAAAAGCCTCTAAAACAACTTTAATGAATTATCTGCCTCCTATCATTTACAAAAGGGACAAATAGAGTCTAGATCAAGATAAGGATTCAGACTAACAGGCCCCCATCTCTACCTACATTTGGGCAGTCACAGAAAACTGGAACCACTTTTACCCACCAATAGAAATGTAATTTCCTTACCCCTACCCACCAATTATATAAGTCTTAAGAACAAAGGACTCAACCCTTTTTGGGCACCTGGCCTCTGTACACCTGGGTGCCAGTCACCCAATCTCTGCATACTCTGCTTTTGACACCTTTGCTCTGGTTTTCCCACTAGAACTTAGTGCTAATAAACTTTGCATGCATGCTAATAGGCTTACTGACCTGTAATTCCTTACTGTGTTTGTGAGAAGAACCAGGGTTTCCCCAGTAACAAGAGGACAAACAATATTTATTTTATCCAGTGATATGAAGATCATCACAGGCTTAAAAGAAAGCAGGAATGGTGGAGACAAATCCCAGTTTTGATTGTGTGAAGCAGAGGGAGAAATCAAATGTATAACTTAATACTTTTCAATAAGGTAGAAATTTCCCACGTGGCAATAAAGGTGGAAAGGATGCTGTTGAGAAGGTGGGATTGTGCAAGGATCAGAGAGAGGATACATGAACAGTAAAGTAATGGGAAAGTCAAGAATGTTGGGAAGCAAAATGTAATAGAAAGATTAGGGAGGAAGGAAGATGGTGATGGAGTAGGAGGGAGCAGATTCCACTTCCCCATACACACGGGAGACAAACCTGGCTGATCTACAGAGGAACAGAGCAAACGGCCAACAGTACCCCAGCATATATGAAAATAAGAGACCAAAAATTGTAGCAGACACTGAAAAACAAGACGGTAAGGAGAGTGCTTCAGGACAATAAGGTCCCAGGGACCAGTGTGGGGACCAGGGTGGCTGTAGCCCCAGGCCGGCACCCGGCACCAGTGTTGGGTCTACCACAGACTTCTTGGGAGTGATGGGCCTGCCACAGAGACCTTGGGAGAGAGCTGGGTCAACTGCTCCCTCCCTCCTAGCCAAACAAGGTATAAGCAGCACTGGGAGAGACCTGGTTGCTTGAAGTTGCAGAGAGGGGAATAAGGACAAAGAGACAAACACACAGGGGCTGTGAGAACAGGCAGAGTTTGTGGGCACTGGCTTGGGAGAGTTGAAAGTCTCACAGTGACATGCACTGACCCCCGATAGTCACCGGTTTGGCTGGAGAATTGGGCTGTACGAAGAGGCAGACTTGAGTAGGAGGAATTTTTCAAAAAGAAGAACTGTTTGGGGAATTCTCTGGCAACAGATGCTTGGCCTACTCCCCTCCCAGCCGGGCAGCAATCCCAGGTTTTGAGGAAGGTTGCCTGCTGGAGGCTGTGGGAAGCTGCAGGAAAGACCCTGTGTACCCCCACAGCACTGGGAAGGGACTGAGGCAGCCTAGCCAAGCACATGTGCATGCGTGTGAGCCCACATCCCAGCTCACAGAAGTAACTGTGAGGAAAGAGCCTCTGAGAAAAACCTGAATCCCACGAATCCCACACCAGAGATGCTGAGGAGTGGTGCCAGACTAACTCTAGACAGAGTGCATGCAAGAATGGCTGACTACACATTGGGAAGGGAGAAAAGCTATACCAATTGCCCCTCAGCCTGCTGCAGCCAGCAAGACCAGAAAAAACATTTTGGCCAGTTTGAAACCAACAAGAGGTGTTTTTTTTTTTTAAAGTAATCTTTTATTTTTGTTTTATCTTTCATTACTTTTTTCCTCTCTTTCCTTCTTTCTTGTTTTATTCCTTCTTCCTTTTTTTCCAACTTTATTTCTTCCTCCCCCCTTCTCCTGCTTTTTTTTCTTTTAAATACCCACAAGTGAGACAAAAGAATCTGGAACTGTGAAAGGACCACAGTTGGACCCAAAGAGGGGGCATCCCAACAGCTGAGACAGTGAGACAAATTCCACTTTGCTATTGCAGAGAAACTGCAAATTACTGAATATTTATAGTATTATTTTAAATTATTCTCACATCTTTTATTTTAATAGTATTTTTGTATTCTTATTCTTTCTGTATAGCCTTCTTTGCTTGGCTGGTTATATTGTTAGGTTTCCCTTATTCTTTCTTTTACACTGTATTGCTAATTTACTGTCCTTCATGTCACTTGTGTTCCTTTGGCACACTACTCAAAGTTCTATACCCCCTATTCTTGTTATCCAGATCACATAGATTCTGTCATAT